ACTTGCAAAAAGAAACAAGACAATAATTTTACAATAAAACAAAGTTGAATCTGACTCATTCTAAATATATTCTAATATTAATTAAAAGATCATGAAATGATATGTGTTTGCATGGTTTTCTTTTTTTAAGTGCATAAATACTTTAAAACGTGACACTGACATTTTCGATTGCTCTGCCCAACCTTCCAGACTATTAGAAAATCAGTTATTCTGTGGAGGAAACAAAGTGGAATGTGTGCACGTGTCACACCTCACCACTCACACTGGCAAGGGGGACAGAAAACAATGTAAGAGTGTGACAAAGTTTGTAAGAACATTCACCACTCAGTCTACATTTAACCCCAGACTGCGCTGCTGATAGGCACTGTAGGTAGCTGTACAGGCAGGCGTGCAGTCAGTCATGTATTCTAGAGCAATGCGCCGGACACTGGCTGCTCATAGCTGACTTTAAATTGCACATCACACAACCATAAAAGAATGCTGATGAAACTGCAAGAAATATTCCAGTTATTGCAACTTTAATTTTTCCAAACTATTTACATCAAACATCCTTCTGCTTCTGGTCAGGACTTCCACGAAACAGCTGCAATTAGAATTGCAGTTTTAAAGGTGTGTGCATGCTGGGCACAAGTACTCCTTTTCCACAGGAGGATGCTGAACACAGCTGACGTGAAACCACCTCTCACAGCTGTGTTGGATTGAAGAGGAGTCGTCACCTGACTTTGATGCAGAATAAATTGAAATAATTTGTCTCTGTGGTGTTCAGTGCCAGGTTGGTGGCTGAACACCACCCAGACAGTCTGCACCTGGTCTCAGTACGAGCTGGACTACATGGTTTCTAAATAAAAAGTGGAACTGGTCTTTGCTGATATCCCCCGGTTATTAAAAAGAAAGAGGAAGGCTAGGTCACGCTTTGGATTGAGAACCTCTCTCTGACCTTAGACCTGAATCTCTTGGGGTCAGAGACCGCAGGTTTGGATCAGATTCCATCAGCAAACATAAGATTCTGGACTGGTTTACTGATCAGTAAAGACCAAACTGTGATCAATGAAGAATCTACTTTGATCATTTCACTGACTCTGATTGGCCTCAGGTTCCTGTTACTGTTGATTTCACCATAATGTCTAAAGAAACATGTACTATTTCAAAAGTCATTTTTACAGAATAAAGGTCATAAGATTTTCAGAATAAAAGCTGTGCTAATTTAGGAATAACAACGGCCATATTTAGAGAAACTAACATTATATTAGAGGAACACGAGCAGGAAAACTTTGAGAATTGGGAGCTTGGTGTGTGGGATGCCTGCAAAGTTCCGGCTATTAAATGCACCTCGGGGTGGGAGAGTTTTGTCTGACGCGCAGATGCGTTTTGTTTTCGGCTATTATCGAAGAAAGTAATGTGGTGTGAGTTAAGACCAGCCTTTACTCTGAGGGTTCCCTTTGAGGACCTTATAGACAGTCAGCAGGGGGTACTCACAACGTTCATGTGCACTTCAGGGTCCAGCTTCTTGGGGCATCGGTGGACGTCACAGCGTGGGTTAGTCGGTCCGGGGTGGACAAAACCGGAGAGCAGCAACACACACACCAGAACACCCAACATCGTCTGTCTGAACGAACGAACACACACACACAGTCCGACCAGTGAGCACAGCTTTCTGTGCTTCTCTTGAGCTTCCTGGTCATGAGGGGCTGATCCAGTCGGATGAATTAAAAGACGAAGCTGTGTCTCTCCACTCTCTCTCACTCACTAGACAGGTTGGAGCCGTGTGTGCGCGCGCGCACGGCGTTGTTCTCATGTCTTGTGGGCCAAACCATTTTTACCGTGTTTAATAAAATGGCTGCTGTAATAGCTACGGTAGCTGTAGCCATCTTGGCTTCTACAGCAGCAGGCATGTTTATATAGCTACTTGGCTCAATTCCGTCACTATATAAAGTAATGGCTGTTGAATACGTTTTAGTTGTACATGGTTTTAGAGCATAGGGCTGCATGTAAACACTATGGTGGTGAGCTTGGTATGTCATTGTGAGCATGTCATCAAAAAAAAATAAAGTGAGAAAGGACTTGGTGGAGTTCAGCTTTCAGGCACTCATCCATTTCTGTCCCTTGTGTCTTTATCTTTTCTATGTACAGCTGAGAAAGTATAAAGAGCAGGAACAGGATCCGATTTATGAGAAATGAAACTCGGTGACCTACAGATGACATCTCCAGTGATTATCATTTACTAAGGACCACTCCACAGCTGGATCACCTGTCAGTGCTGGAACATTTTCTGCATCACTAAGGAACCAAAAACAGCCTTAAATCTGTATTGCCTTTTTTTTTACCAGCTCCTTTAAAGCCACACAGAACTGCGATCCCAGCTCCAGACTGTCAGTCAGTTGATATTAAACCTGGAATACCTTGAAGTTGCACAGATACAGTAAACTGATGTGGTTATTGGCTGAGTTCTGAGGTGTACTCGAACTGTTGTGGTGTACTGGTAACATATTTGTCATCTTTGACGGAAGTACCAGGTTTTAATCCTGGTGGGGAGTGCATGGCCTCATCAGTTTTTTAGCCTCAGATTTTACTTTACTGTTAGTACTTGCAAAAAGAAACAAGACAATACTTTTACAATAAAACAAAGTTGAATCTGACTCATTGTAAATATATTCTAATATTAATTAAAAGACATCATGAAATGATATGTGTTTGCATGGCTTTCTTTTTTTAAAAGCATAAATGCTTCCTTTTAAAACTTTACACTGGCATTTTCGATTTCTCTGCCCAACATTCCAGACTATTATAAAATCAGTTATTCTGTGGAGGAAACAAAGTGGAATGTGTGCACGTGTCACACCTCACCACTCACACTGGCAAGGGGGACAGAAAACAATGTAAGAGTGTGACAAAGTTTGTAAGAACATTCACCACTCAGTCTACATTTAACCCCAGACTGCGCTGCTGATAGGCACTGTAGGTAGCTGTACAGGCAGGCGTGCAGTCAGTCATGTATTTTAGAGCAAAGCGCCGGACACTGGCTGCTCATAGCTGACTTTAAATTGCGCATCAGACACAACCATAAAAGAATGCTGATGAAACTGCAAGAAATATTCCAGTTATTGCAACTTTAATTTTTCCAAACTATTTACATCAAACATCCTTCTGCTTCTGGTCAGGACTTCCACGAAACAGCTGCAATTAGAATTGCAGTTTTAAAGGTGTGTGCATGCTGGGCACAAGTACTCCTTTTCCACAGGAGGATGCTGAACACAGCTGACGTGAAACCACCTCTCACAGCTGT